GAGAGGGTCTTTATCTAGAAGAATATACACAGTGGCTTCACAGGTGCTGGTCTTAAACTACTTAATGAAGACCAGGTGCTTGAAAAGATTACTTTTCAACTCTGTACACCAACACCACTACTTCTTGAAGGCTCTATATCATCTGCTTTTTAAACTCCTCAGAATCCTCAGCAACTAGATCAAAAGGTCCGCAGCCTGCAGAGAAGTCTTTAGAAAAGAAAGCTTTCTAGCAGTCCAGTATCCCATATTCAACATCTTGAAAAGGCTGCATAAATGGCAATGAATATAAACCTTCTTCTTCAAGAAGAAATCAAGGTTCTACGGGCTGAGAATGAGCGAAAGATGAGAAAGAAGGCAAGGAGGCATGCTAACCTAGGTAATGATATCCTTTTATCTGTATAGGAAGGTCAAAGTCGCATTCAGCAGCTTGATATACCTCTTATTAAGCAGGTCAGTAAGCCTACACCTATACCTTGTCAGCGGGCTCCACCACGCTGCAGTGGCTGTTGGTCTATTGGATATACTAGAAGGAATTGTCCTAATATATAGCTATATATTCAGCTACTAGATAGTCAAGTCTAATGATGTTAGTGGTTGAAAAGCTTCAAAATAGTATTAGAAGCGGCAAAAATTCGTTGCTCAGTGGTATTCGTCGCTCAGTGGTTGATTACGTTATTACTAGAAGAAGATAGTTATAACTAAGATTATGCTTATCTACATAACTCTTATAATACATTACCAAAGCTCACCAGGTAGGTAATTTATTATAGCTACTAGTAGCTACTAGTAGTTACTACTACTATTACTAATCAATATGTAATCCAATACAGGTAGGTCATCAGGTTTTTAGCCTGGCAACCTATGCAAAAATCTTAGTAAGCAAACTAGTAAGCATAAACCTAGTATTTACTAGTACCTTACTGGTAATTACTAGTCATCTACCTGGTGACCTGGTGACCTGGCGACCTGGCGAGCCGATCTCTCGCTTCTTTTTAGTCCCGCTACATTCAATAAAGCTCGTAGTCCAAGTATGTCGTATCATAACCGATACAGATAGTAGACCTAGACGTATCAAGCCAGTCATTCTCGTCCTCGGGGCCCGTTTAAATCCCTTCCGGATCAGAGGAGGCTTTTCTATGCTCTCCAAGTCATAGACCCAACTCCAACGCATGGTTACAGTCCTTCACCTTCCACCAAGGTCGCACCAAATCCACTTCGGCCTGAGAGGCCGCTCCGACTCTGAGATACGTCTCTTCCTATCTGTCATCTAGTGTCAGTGAGTTCTTCCTGTCAAGATGGTCGTCTTGCAACCACTCGCAACTGCGTATTTCGAGATATTGTGCTTACGCAAAACTGGTCAGTGAACCAACAGACCCACCATCCTTGCGGTGGTATTCCACTGTGTCCTACATAGCGCGCCCTGTTGTTGTCTTCGGAGGACATGTGGTTACACTGTGCAGGGCCATCCTGACTGAAAGTGATTTCAAAAGCAAGTCTACCTTCTCACCTCACTGTAGTAGTGCATGGTGACCTAGCTTGGGTTGGTATTCAGAGACTAATAGCGGGCAGGGTGGGGAAACGAATATATAGGGAAAGGCCCTTCTCCCCAGGGTGCAGAGGCAAGCAATGGCATACGCGCGTCCTCGTAGCTGGCTGAGATTCTGGTAGCATTCTTTTGGGATAATATCATGCAATTGGCATGGTGCTGCCCTACGAAATGTCTAGGTCCGGGAAACCGTGCTGTTCAGTGAACATGTCCATGTTCATGTTCATGTTCATTATTCCATTGGCATATCACATTCAGCACACAGGTCTACTACTACTACAAATGGCTTCCTTGCTGCCTTGCTTACAAATCGGTCTAATTTAACTAGAGTCAGTGGTTCTGACCTAGTGTCCCTGGCCAAGTCTGCCCGAGGCCATTCTACTCTACTGTATGGATAACAAATGCTGCATGTCTTATGTCAAAGGAGATTAGAGGCAAGCCCCTAGCGATGCATATATACACAAGCCTGCATGGTGAGATAAGAACACCAAGCCTAACAATCAATAAGGCTCCCATCCAGTGTCGTCGCCGCCCTTCCATCCCATTCTATTATTAATCGAGCTGCATTTATAAGCACCTGGCATATGATATGGCCCTTGTTTGAGCATCTTCTTTCTATCAAACCAAATGAACTATAACATCTACCGTAACCATATTGCATCCCCCCCGCACACAGTTCATCCAACTTAGAATTATTACCCATCCAATCAATATGTCCGTTTACGTTATCACTGGAGTGTCCAAGGGGATTGGGGTGAGTCTTCCTTCTACCGTGCGATGCACTGTCTTTACCTAATGCAGCCTAGTTCGAGTTCCTCAGGCAAATCTCGGAAGACCAGAAGAACCTGGTCATCGGTCTGGTCCGCGACAAAGCTGCGACTGAGAAGAAGATAGCTGCAGAGCTGGGCGACCGTTCAAATGTCCACATTCTCTATGCGGACCTCACTAAGTATGCCACACTGAAGCAAGCTGCTGCCGACACGGCCGAGATCGTCGGCGAGCGTGGCATCGACTACCTTGTGGCCAACGCAGCGTTGGTGCCCTACTTGGACGCCTATGGACCCATCGGTGCATTGTAGGTCTACTTCCCTCTGGCTACTGTGTGGGGTGGTCTGTGGTTGACTGTGTTCAACAGGAGCAACAAGGTCGAGGAAGTCGAGGCTATTTCATCGCAGCTATGGCAGACTAATGTCGTCGGAAATATCCACCTCTTCCACCTCTTCCTCCCTCTTGTCCTGAAGGGCAAGGTCAAGAAGGTCATTACTATATCCACCGGTGTGGCCGACCTCGACTTGACCAACGATTGCGAGATTGATGTTGGTGCTTTATACGCTGCCTCCAAGGCCGCCATGAACATCATTGTGGCCAAGTTCAACGCGCAGTACAAGAAAGATGGTGTGCTGTTCATGAGTATCAGCCCAGGCTTGGTGGAGGTGGGCCGCTACGCGGATGGTACGTATTCCTGCCTGCCTGCAAGGTTACAATATCCGGACATTTTGATTGATGCATACCCGCAGCCACTCCAGAAGAGATCCAAGGCTTGATGGGATTGGTGGGCAAGCTCGCAACATATGCGCCTCATTTCAAGGGCCCAATCACTCCGGAAGAATCCGTCCGACATGTCAGATCGGCCTGGGAAAAGGCAAGCATCGAGGGCGGATCTGGTGGTGCATTTGTCTCGCATTTTGGAAACAAGCAGTGGGTGTAAACTTGGGGCCCCGCTATATTAATTACACCAGATACACCTAGGTATTGGTGTATGTGTAACACGTGCATCTAGATACACTCCATGAGATAGAAGTATCCATCAATACACCCGATTCTAGATGCTCATTGACATGTGTAACCTTAAATCCGCATGGCATGGCCACCTTAGTGCCATGCAGTGTTTCTGTACACCATGAGTCTATCTCGGAGAGATGCCTCTCCTGGTCATAGGGCTACGAATATGATATTCAGTACATGAGAAATTGAATAGCCGGCGGCCCCTGGCGACGAGTATATAGGTTCTTTTTCCTCATTCCAGGCAGATTTCGTCGGCGCTGCGGTCGCTCAGCGACCTCGCTTGGATGCCTTTGGCGAGCACGGGCAAAGTACGGGTCTTAATTCTAGCTTCAGGGCCAAAACCATCCATGAACCAGTGGTTGTTGATCCGCCACCAGTCCGCGGACTTGGTGAAGGTGATAGCATAGCCGCCGCTGCGCAGCCGCCGTCCGTTCGTTGGGTAGTTTGTTGGATCGGTTGGACGGTCTCAGCGTGGGTTCGCTTCCGTGACCTGTAGTAGTGCATTAGGTCGTAACCAATGACCTCCCGAGCATGCCGTTTAGAGAAGATATGCGGTGCTGGCGCTGCGGATGAGCCGCCACCTGGTGGGTTTTGAGCCGCTACTTGGGACCAGGTTCCTCTTCGTTGTCTGTTGCGGTGGTTCTGCGGTGTGGATGACTTTTGTAATCAGTTCCTTGATGGCTGCGGGATACTTTCTTGGAGTAGCAACTTCGCAGCGTCGCCACGTTCATCGAAATCGGCGCGTGCAAAATGCAGGGTTGTTCAAGCCCTCCGCCGTCAGCGAGCGCTCGTATAAATTGCTTTCCAGCCTCAGTCCGTTCGAGGCGGGCGCTGCGTTTCCGGACCGCCTAGACTGCTTGGTGGTCTCGCCTTTCTGGTCGCATTTTGATTCAGGGGGACCGGAGCTGTCTGAATAACGTCTGCCGTCCCCTGGCGGGTGTCAGCCTTGCGCTGTTGATGCGACATCGCTGCTAGGGTACACCGAATGCATAGGATTTACTTCAGGTACCAGAATCGATCTTAGTAATGGTTTCTAGAGCAATCCAAAAAGGCAGAAAGAGCTCTTGGTGTAACCTATATTACAAGATATCTTTGAGCGAGTCCAATTAACCCTAATCCTCTCAATCTAAAGCCATTCCCTCCGGGTTCCCCTACACTAAAGTTATCTAAGCTATGGTAGCACCCCTACTATACTACTACCATTCTTAGTATAATACTATCCTCTACTAGGCATGCGAGGTGGTAGTCTTGGGCTGCACGATGTAGTGTCATTATCAGGGAGGAGTAATATTATCAACTAGGTAAAGAGATGACTAAAGAAGAATACTAACTACAGGAACAAGTAAATGAAATTACCATTCTAGAACATTGCTATGAATTTATTGGTTTATCACAAAGCTCCTGCAGGTTTCTGTCATCAGCCATACTCCATATGGATTCTGGTCTATGATTGAAGGCGAAAGTCCTTGCAGTTGTGCAAACTAGAACTTAGTCACGGTGTGTCCCAGAAACAATAACTTCAACTTAAATATGTCAAATACTTTCTGAAGTTGAATGTAATGATGACCAGGATGGTGAATTTAGATCGCGATCAGCCAACAGTGCCTAACACCAAACGAAGAGAGAACAGACTGTCAGCTTGGAAGAGCCCAGTCCACTTCAGGACAACTCAGCGGTTCAACTCAACAGCCTCCACGAGCGCCGCGTTCCAAGCATCGCAGACGCTTTTCGGCATCTGGCTATCTTGTATAATGTCAAATCCCCAGTTGCTCATATTGAACACATTTCCTGGCATATCCTCTTCCAGCCCGGTAACCTCGGGCCAGTATTCCAGCTCATGCTTCTTGCTGCGGGGTGTATTTGGATTTCCCGTCCGTGCATGGTTAGTTATATACCGTTGGAACTGCCCAAATAGTGGTTTCATACCACTCTGGAGCTTCGTGTTATACCATGTCGCGGGGATATCGCTTGCATGCTTTCCATTTACCACGCCATCGAGGAAACTGAACTGAAACGCCCAAGCGGGGCTCGGGTAGGCCTTTAGAACAGCCCGTAAGTTGCAAGTGTAGAGAATGTCGTTATATAACGCAGACAGCATTTCCTTCTGAGTTGAATTGGCGTAGAGTGATTCAAAGAGGTTGGCTATTGTCTTAGTTTGCTCGGTAGCGTTCGGGGGTAAGTTATTAGAAATAAAAGCCTCTACCTGGCCCTCCGGAATAGGGTTGGGGAGGCCGAGGCTTGCTTCGTCTATAACATGGCTAACAATTACTGACTCGATATGTTTCCAGGTGTTTCCTGAGGCTATGGTTAGTTTTCTTTTCCATAGCTTGTCTGTAGCTTGACTGTTTTTGTTTATGTTGAAAGGGTTCAAGGCATTTAACTTGCCTCTGGCGTACTCGAACAGAGCAGGATTCCGGATATATTCGCCATCTGGCACCGGCGCACCGAAATACACCTCCTCATTTGCCCTGGTTAGAATAGTGCTATTTGCTAAGCGCAAGCAGCGGAGCGCATCCTCCCCTTCAGTTGGGCATTGTGCAGCCGCTGCAAAGTCTCTGAATAGCTCGTAATTCACTTGGAGGTTTGCGTTGACTGCAAAGGAAGGACTCTGGAGTAGTGCCCTCCGGAATAAGGGATCAAGCTTCCCACCTTCTGCAATCAAATGATACATCAGAGACCCACCACCAGCAGACTGACCCCAGGCAGATACACTGCCAGGATCGCCTCCAAGAAGATGAATGTATGCTTGTACCCAAGCAAGGGCAGCTCGCTGATCATGCAGACCAGCGTTGAAGACTCCTTGGGTGCGCAGAGGCTCTCCGACAAGGAAGCCGAAAGCTCCCAGGCGGTAATTAATAGTTACAACAATCAGATTGTTATCTGCCTGCTGGATAAGGCTTGTGCCATCATAGTATCCCGTCCCTATTGCCTGGTCCTTGGAGCCGCTAACGTACCTATAGAAAAGCCCGAGTTTGAGTAAGTCTAATATGGAGGTAGATCGAACGACTTACCCTCCGCCATGAATCCAAACAACCACTGGAATCAATCTCTGGCGTTTTCTTACCACTTTTCCGGGCACGTAAACGTCGAGAAAGAGACAGTCTAAGAGAGTGAGTTGATTTGTACCCAGTCGGGGCCCAAAATCTTACCCTCAGCTGAATTCTTCGTGAGGTCTTTGACGCCTGGCATAAAAAACTGGTCTGGGATTGGAGCAGGAATGCAATTATGACCGTACGATCCGTCTTGGATGCCAGGAATGAATTCGGGGGGTGCCGGTTTGGACCAGCGTAGTTCGCCAAGTGGAGGAGCAGCGTAGCGGATGTTGCGAAATACGTAAACCTGAACGATTAGTGCCCGAAGGGTAGCAAGCTTGTCGAAAGGCTTACATCTGCTTCGGCATTGTATTGATGGGCCTGCCATGTCCCGTATGGAAGCTTCAGCAGGGGGAGTTTATGGCCCCGTTCGAAGGTGCCGCCAACGTTCGCAGAAGAAGCAAGCTCTGACACAATGGCCAATACAATGAGAGTAAGGAATGAGCAGGGGATCAACATTTTGAACAGTTTCGGTGAGGATAGTCGATTTGAGAGTCACTGAGAAGAACATGTTTTCGACCTTTATATAGGGCAAGAGCCCGGTATGACAAGAAAGCTGCTACCTAGTGTTCGCATATCTGCCAGACAATACGGGGCGGATCCGGGACCCATACCACCTAGTACACCCAGTTGCTCTTTATGTTCGGTTCGCATTCGTCGTCGTCCTGATTGGTCAACTAAACGAGGCTGCTCCCCTAGCCTGTCATCGGTCAGCTCTGCTACGAGCCACTCCAGGTGGGGTTTCAGTTCTTATCCGTCTGATTTGATATTTCTCATGACTTTGAAAGGGGAGAGCTTATGGACATTTATCAATTATGCAATATACACCTAGGCTGCGCTCGCATTATCTCGCATAGATTGACTCACAGGTTCAGAGTCCAGTGTCCATTGGTTTGCTCCATGCGTATTCACTGGAACCTATTGGTATCAGCCACGCAGGTGCAATATGGTGATGAATAGATGACGGTCTACGAGCAAAGGCCGTGTCCACATCAATGTTTAGATCTCTGCAGTAGTCTCACCAAATTCTTGCAAGTGTTTAATTCTGAGTCAGGTGCATTTCAACTGCAAGAGGGCGGTGTTCAGAATAGGATTATTAGCCATTTGATAATTCACTCTTCTTCATTCCTAATGAATATCATGCCAATCTAATACATCACTTGGTATACGCTTGCGCAGCAACGCAATGAACCTGCCAAGTTCATGATTCCACTGCGGAAAATATGCTCTGTTAAGAGCAATATCCGAGATCAAGTCTAGAAGAAAGCATTGGTACAGGTCATAGACCAAACCCTGTATTGGCTCTGGGAGCCCCTCATAAATATTCTCTGCCCACCGATAGAGTAGGAAATGCCCCCCGTTAGACTGGAGATTCCTTGTGAGGCTAAGCCTGGCATATAGCGGGCGCATGAATGAATCGATGGTGATATAATGCATAAATAGTGCCCGTGATATATAATTTTGAGGTGCAATCAACGTATGAAACTCTGAATTATCCATGCATGACCATGTGACATAGATCATTGTAAGCCGAATAAATGCATGTCGGTATGAGATAAGTAACGACTCATAACACAGCCGTAGTGCATTATAGAATGTATGATGCTCACTTGTGCGCAGAAGCGGTTGTAGCCTCTCCAGAGCTGCTATACACCTGGTTATGGTATGCTGGTCCGTCAGGGCCTGTGGCTCCCATGGTAGGGTCGTCGTTTGCATCGTCTGTTCCGGAGTCTGTAGACAACTGAAGATATTGCTCTTTCGGCCGTGGCGGAAATACCAGTTTATCATAATACTGCAGCCGCGCACCATGACCGCGAAGTCAGTAACACCATCACTCATATGGCGGGCTTGGAAGGTTAGTGCATAGCATGTCGCTAGAGCGCTGTCCACTTCAGTAATGGTGCAGTTGTCGCCCTTAGCAAGGATGGTGCCGAGGGCTTGGAGAGCCTTGCCACGATGCGCAATAACAAGGGGAGCGTATTGGTATCCTTGTGGACTGGCCAGGGCGCAGTATGATGCGCCGAGTGATAGCAATGCATGGAGGAGGTGGGGGCACTACGCATACATCATCATCACCATCAGTTACATACGTTTATGGATTTGGGGGCAGGATGTGGTGGCCAAACTGACGCACATCGTGGGCAAAGATGGGTATCTGCGAGGACCAGGTGCCCTCATCTCCAATGGGGAGACCTGGTCGCGCATCAACAAGGTAATGATGCCAAAAGCGCAGGTCGTCAACGGTGACAGTGGAGGTGGAAATTCGAGGAGATGGTGAGGGGATGGGCGATTCCCTGGGTATCTGTGTCTGAGCTGAATCCGCTATCAATAGTCGCCATCTAGTGTCTCCTTTAGTTGGGTAGACGCAGCCTAGATCTCTTCGTATACAGTTCATGCACGCTGGTTTTGTTTCTTGACACTGTTATACCATGCTCAGTTTCAGTGATGCAGAGTCTCTCACGCAAGTTATGTACCTTGATTCTCCGACTCTTGCAGTTGAAACATCCCTGACGAGATTTTCTATGGGGTCGTTTCAGACGATTCGCTGGAGGTCGTAGGCATAAAGCCTTCGATATGCTATGTTCCGGGGGGCTCGGTGTCGTACCAGCGGAGAGCAAGTCTTCCCCGGGGAGATGGAGTGGGGAGCAGCCGCAGGAGGGATGCTGGGTGTATTCCATCTCCATGGCAGCGATGATCAGAGAATTTTTCTTTCCTCGCATCGGCTCCAACTCTAGCTCCTGAGTTCTGGCAGGCAGCACTTTATACGAGACCACGTGATCCCTACTCCTGTCACTGGTGAAACTGCTTAGTAAGCTCTTCGCAGTCATGTGACTCTAACCATGTACACAGGCCAACTGAGCTCTCAAGTCTTACATAGAGTTGCAAACTCGCAGCAGTGCAGATAATCAGGTTCGGTCCCTAACCTACGGAATCGCACTGGTTTCAGTTTCCCTTAGGTGACACAAATTCGAGTTTAGTTAAATAACAGCTTTGAATTAAACGCTTTGGAATTGACTGGGAAAGTGGCCGCTCAGTTGCAATGGCTACTTGCTTACTGATTACGTTACTCAACACCAGGAAGCAGGGTGGGAGCACCTGGCACGGCTACCTGAGTACGATAGTGGATATTTGTTGAAATCAATAGTACTAGTTCAATTCGCCAACTACTAGTAATTTATATGGCCAATTGAAAACCAATGAAGGTCTGATTCTTCTAAACGAATGACTATCTAGCTACTATTTATGCCTCCCACTAGAGGCAGGGGTTCGGCTTATTAATGAACGAATATATGCCGAATATTGGGCGAATACCGCCGAATATTATCGCCAAGGGACGGCTCGGTGGAATCAAATCACTTCCAAATCGGGCAAGCGGTCATATAATTCAATAATATTTCAGTGTGTTGTTTCCAAGCTTTTGGATGAGCAATCTGCGCTATCTTGGCAATTAGAGGAACCGTACAGGAAGTCTGACTGCTTATCAAGCATTTACTGACTGACTACTAACTGAAGATAGTCAACCTAATTATAACTAACTAGTTAGTTACGGAGCGCTCATCAGTCCAAAGACTTTAGATCGTCGATGCCGATGCTAACTATAATCTCAAACTGGCTTAGCCTCCGCCGGGGCAACTTTTTGTTTGGGTTTAGTCCCCGCACAGCACTGTGTAGACTGAACCAACCATTGCTAATGGACTTGGAAAGTCTGACTGTCTGAACAGGAGCATAGAAGATAAATAGATCTGCTGTTACTCCATGAGAGGAAAATACTTCCATGTCTACTTGCAGAGGTCAACCCAGAAATGGCGTTCCCATACAAAAACGTTCTCATCATTGGAGCCACCTCAGGCATTGGCAAGGCATTAGCCAACAAGCTGGTGCAGAATGGTATTCCAACCATCATTGCCGGACGCAGGCAGGAAAACTTGGATGAATTCGTCCAGCAACACGGCACCGACAAGGTCAAATCAAAGGTGATCGACGTCTTGCAACCTGACAAGGTATGTCTTTCCACGGGGTCCCATAATGTATGTAGCTGACCCCCAGTAGATTCCCCAGTTCGTGGCGGATGTGACTGCTGAAAATCCCGACCTTGACTGCGTGTTTGTCAACTCCGGCATTCAGCGCCCGTTTGATTTTAGCAAGCCGGAGTCTGTGGATATGGATGTTTTCGACCAAGAGCTAATCACGAATTATTCCTCGGCCGTGCACCTCGCCAAGGCATTCATCCCCCACCTGCAGAAGCAATCGACTGCCGCCATCGCCTTCACCACCTCCCAGATGGCCCTGGTTCCCATGATGCGTTGTCCAACCTATGGTGCCTCCAAGGCCGCGCTGCACCATTTTATTCTCGCCCTCCGAACGCAGCTTCAGGATGGGCTGGGGAATGTCAAAGTGATCGAAATCTATCCCCCTGCTGTGCAGACGGAGTTGCACGACGCCAAGCACCAGCCTGATCTCAAAGACGGCCATCTCATAGGTATGCCACTGTGCGAGTTTATCGATGATGTTTGGAGCCAGTTGTGCCGCGGCAAGGAGCAGGTGGCGGTCGGTTCGGCACGAGAGATCTTCGAGGCGTTTGAGATCAAGAGACAGGAGGTTTATTATCAAATGACGGCGATGTTATCCAAGGTATTGAGGCAGTTTTTGCGGTAGCCTCTCAATGACACATGGATTCAGGTGTTGTTACTGAGGACGGAGCGCTGCAGAAAATGGAATCTCTGAAATAGCTACTCCCCTACAAGCGGCTAATATCAGACTTCCAAATGGGGTGATATCATGGATCTGCCCTGACTCTAGCATACCGGAGTATTCGTGCAGAGACACCATTTCGGCTTTAGAAGGACCGTCTGCCCACGCCTCTCCTGGAGTATCCCACAGCGATGTGCGAACGTCAAATGGCAATGAATCGATAAACGGCGTACGCACCGAGTAGTTTCTTCTTTGCAAAGAGTATACACTTCGTAACATAAAACTCACGATGATGGTGCGCCGAACACTCTCTGCGTATATCCAGGCGCGTCGCGGACTGAGCGTATGTGGAAGTTGGAAGGGGGCCTGTTGCCAGAGACGCTGGCCGACATCCGCCAGGCTGCAGCTGACCCTATCGGAATACATGTTCTGATCGTCGCGTAGCAGGACAATACACTGAAGAAGAATCAATGCCTGTGCGCAGGCGAGGAGCTCCTCAAAGCTTTTTGCGTGCATGAATTGGTGGAGGAGATTGATCAGTTGCTGCCGAAGCCGGGGGCCTAGCGTGGCCATCCCAGTGCCCTTTCCTTGTCCAATCTGTGTATGCAGCTTACACAAGTCGTAAGCTGCTATAATCTGTGTCGGCGTTTTGCTTGTCTATAAATCCGGGTGGATGAAATGTGTCTTTCTGCTATGCGCAAATGCTATGGGAAACTCGCGCATGCCATGCACAAGAAATCGGACGATCTGCTGGGGGTAGCTTTTTGTAATCTCCAGCCGGAGAGGCCGATGGAGTTGGGCTGTAGGCGAAGAAGCTACTGCGTTGGGCCGCTTCCATACCAGGCCTGATCCCACCCCAGTCGTGAATGGTCTCATTTACATATCGGCAATCGAGTCCTCGGGCCAAACACCGACTGCAACAGGGAAATCCTCGATCACAACGACGCTTGCTGTTTGCACAGGCTCGGCATGATCTACAAAGAGTGAGGGGCTTGGGTGCGTTGCCGACCATGTCTGCAGTTGGATTGCGGATAAACGAGGAGAGCTGCCGTCAGAACGCAGGTCAGGCCACCACTCCCCAGCCGATTTTCCGGTGGTCATGTGATACCTTCCCACTGCCAGTTAGAGTTGCATTCAGTCCGAGTTCGGGTGAGTTCAACCCAGGTTGGAACCAAACTGCTGTGAAGCCTGTGACTTCAAGTCTAAATCTTAGAATTCAGAAATTCAGAATCAACCCTGACCCATTCTGGTTTTGTGAGTTAAACTGTAAAACCCACCACTAAGCCTAGATAAGTAGTCACTAGCCTATCTAAGTAGGCGGTATGCCTAGACAATATCAACAATTCTAATGGTTCTCTTACCTTAGGTAGAACCTCAGGCCTATCTAATATCTATATAGAAAATTATTATTTTTACATGACATATATTGATTATAGTTATTTTAATCTATATATAAATTATTAATATAATATCTATAAGTTTAAAATGGTGGTGGTTAAAAAAAATATCCTTAGACTATAGTAATATGAAAGGGTGATGCGTGTATATATATAAACCAGCACTAGGTGGATTGAGTCGATTGACCACCGCTCCTGATCATTTCCATTTCAGCCTCAACAGCTGCCGGAGATATCGCCCAGAGTCATTCATTGGAGGATTTCCACATAGAATCTGCTGTCATTGTATGACGCTGCGGCTGTCCGTCAAGGATCAGGCTTTCTCGGTGCCATTGTTGATTACTGAATGCTTGCTACCACCTATCCACCCCTTCTGGGGATATTGACTGAAAAAGAGGAAACTGGCGTGCATATCCCTGATCTGACTATTGCCCCTTGAGGCAAATGAGCAGTCATAATTGGGACGATGGCGTCTTTCAAGTAATTGCAAATTGGAGAAATGTGACACTAGAGTTCTGATCCCAGGGCATGCTTTTTACTGATGCAAATTCTATCCATTAGGACCATTACTGATTCTGTCTTTCAGCTCGCTCGATTATTCTCAGCTACACAGTACAATCCTCAAAATGTAATTTCCACTGCCTACCCCTTGATTGCCTGGATTAATGTCTGCGTGCAGATCACTCCACCTTCAGGCATGATAAAGTCCCAATAGAAAAACACGATCCGGCGATTCCGGCGCTCTTTCCCCAAGTATACCAGACATGGCTACACATCCAATGGGACTCAATGGACTGTGCGTGGTGTTTTGGTATCGGATCATGGACAGTACACTCACATTGTCGATTAGCTCTAATATTGCCCGGATAATCCTGTCCGCGATCAACCAAAAAAGGAGCCACGTAGAGCAACTGCATACTCAGACCTTGAACTACTGGGCTGTATTGAGATACGTTTTTCGAAATGCAGCCCAGCCAGACCATCGTGTGCAAGGACTATCAACTACTTTGCGCGGTTGAGGGTGACTGCTGAAAGGGCTGTTGCTAATGCACTCGGTCAATGTGTCATGACTGCAGGCCAGCGCTGCCGAACAGTGTGATGGGTTCTTGCTCAATGCGGCCAAGATCCTGTTATGCTTGCATGATCAAATTCTAGACCACGATCGGCGTTATTCGACTTAAAGTAGGTTCCGAGTTTTGGAAATTACTATACGTGAGGGTGATTGGAATCGCAATATATTTAAATACGTTATCATACAGTGCGTTGGTATCTTTGAAATCATATTACTCGGAGCGGGGGGGAATTGCTTTGTTGTTTGTGGTTTAGTTGGAGTTCGCCAGATAATACAGCATCCAATGCTTTATTTCGCACAGGATCTCATAGCCAAATAGAAATAGTATGTAAGCAAAACGCCTTTGCTTTCTCTGCATTTGCGTGCCAGCCTGTTGGTCCTTCAACGAGGATATGTGGTGCATGGAACTGGCGATGGTTGGGGAGGACTCCAGCGTTCTCGTAAGACTGCAAAGTCCGGATCCAGGCATCGTAAGAATCATCAACACGGTTCCACCCAAGCTTCCGCGCCTTGTGCACAGTGCATGTGAAGGGAGTGGTGGCATTTAGAGGGAGATTGAGGAACCAGTTCACCAATTCAAATGCGTCGACCGACTTGAAAAGTTCCCAGATTTGCGCCGTACTTGGCAACACTACGTTCCCATACTGGGGCTTTATCTCGGGCTAAATTTTTCAGACTCATCTGGACTCGGCTTCATCGGGCAGGGTGGAATAACTGGGAACTTGAGGACTATGGCATCGCCATTAACGTGGAGACTGGCGGCAGGCTCACCAGAACCCAACCAGCAGCCATCATATCAGCTTTATCCAGTCTGGCAGGCTGCTCTTATCAACAGTAGTCAGGTCAGCGTCATCGTCAGTCTGATCAGTAATGGATTGCTTGTGGACTACTTTGACTACAACCACACCCTGACTACAGTGCTATCTATGCTGAGCACTTTTGTCTTTCTGGCAGTCTTCACTAGGAATATTGAGAAGGCTGTTAGCTACACAGATACTATATGGCACGTCTTATATGGCTATTGATGACTATATATGTAACTCTCAGCAAAGGGATTCCATGGCCCGTTTCCCAAACCTTGTTAGTGTTGTAAGCACCGAGCTAATGCTGGTTGTGCTCCAAGGCCATCTTCTTAGAAGTTACTGCGAATGGCAGAAACTGACCCTATGTTCAGGTCCTATTGAAAGTCACGTCAAGCGCTCTATGGGTTATGACACGGCAAACTTCGATTTTGCCCTGAGTTTGGAGCCGTATTAGTGTAGCAGGAAGATACCAATGATGCCGAGCGTGCTTAACCCACCCAAAAGGCTTATCCCTCGCCCGATGCCAAGCTCATCGAACATGGGCCGTGCGTATGGGATCGAATTCCGCTCTCTCCTACGGAAGAAGTGACCGCAACTATGAAAGTATGAAAGGAAAGCGTGAAGTACGCTAGCCAGGACTTCATCCCATTTAGTTTAGGTAATAAGTCCTGTGCAGGCTAGAGGTTGGCTTAGATGGAGGTAAGGATAACCTTGGCAAGGGTATTGTTTCTGTATCACTTCAGGATGGCTACAGGATCAATGAATCACTACAACAGATCTACATAGAAAGGCAAGTAATGCTCATATAAAATACAAAGGTATAGCCTTCCAACGCCGACCTCGAATTTCGCTAGATTATAAAAACCCATAAAAAAATGGATGTAAAGCAATATTTGAAATATCACCCCTCGATCTGCAAGTTCTTCCTAACCTCAATCCGCAACAACCTCCTAACAGGCCGACTCTCCACCCGATTCGATCGATCCTTCACCAACTCCAGAATAACGCTCTTGAAATTCACCGCCAAATCTTCCCAAATAAACTCTGGATTCAATGCCTTGATGAAAACACGCATCGCGGAGACAGGAACATTTATAATGTCGCAGACTTCTTCGGCCGAGAGGTTCTTCTGCATGGTCTTAATGAATTCCGCCCGCAACGACGACTCGAATTCCGCGAATTCATCTTCCGTTTCAATCATGGCCCTTTCCTCTTCCCCTTTAAAATCATCTATGGTAGCAGGGGGTGCCGGCTCTGACTTCTCCCCCGTCATAATCTCATGAAGAAAGACCTCATCGAGAGGCTCGATGCTACTCCCGAATTGACCCTTCTTCCCAACCTGCCACGGAACACGCTTATTCTCCGCATCGCCGAGGACTTGTCTCGTAAGTTCAATGTTCTTAATCTGAGTGTTCTGGTCAATATCGTCGAAGTCCGCGGCTAACAGCGCTTTGTACAGCTTCATGTTTTGGATTTTCAGCGATTCAGGCTTGACGCGCCACAGCGCCGCGATTTCGACATGTTTGGTCATTATCTCCTGGCAGGCTTCTTTCATCCGTGCCCAATCGCTCCTCTTGCATGCTTCGCAGACTTGTTTCTTTAGTTCCGCGAAGGTTGCGGAGCGCGAGGTGTAGACGTTCGCGGCGGTGAGGTCGTCGTTGACGCGCCGTTCGCCTCCCCGGGCGAGATGGTTCAGGTACATGATCATCCTAGTGTAACTCTGCGACTGTCTCTCCAGTTTATGCGGCAGCTGCGCGAGCAGACGAGCCGCGACGGGCTGGAGATCAATATCCTCCGCTGTAAGCATGCGCATGAAGACGGTAATGATAGTGCGCGAATGCTCGAGCTGGATATTCCTCAGCTTGCAGAACTTAACCATCTCAGCCGTGCGACTTGCTTTGATCCTGGCTAGATTTTCGTTCTTAGTCACGACCCTGATGACGGCTTTGTCGAGGAGCTTTTCTAGATTTCCGTGGAATTGTCGGAGTGGCCAGCCCGTATACGGGTATAGTGCGACGACGTTTTCATACCAGATCCACTCAGCGGAGCTTGTGGGGAGGTCGTACTGGGGATTTAGACCGAAGAGTTGCCAGACCATGCTGAGGGGACGGATTCCTGAGCCGGCGATTGTCAAGAGATTACCGAAGAGTCCGCGCATTAACCTTGTGACGGTATCCTCGGCTTTCTCTAGTTCCACGGGCTTAGATGTCCTCATCGCCGCGAGTTTCGACATGGCGGCCATTAACAGTGCGCTCATTAAATGGCCGGTCTCTGGGCTGCTGGGTTGAATATCATGTTCTCTGGACGCGACTGCTTGACCAAGCGTGCTTCTCATGATAATTCGGAGCGCGGCGATGTGCGGTTCATTGCATTTCTCCATCCATCGCACTGTATAGGGGCTTTTCAGGTTGACGAATTCATCCCAACAGACCCAGGCTAGCATTGATCCGGTTCCTGATGACTGGCTTAGGTAGGGTAACGCCAGGATGGGCTGAGAGGGTCCTATGGTGCTTTTGAGCGGGCCGTTGTGCTTGGTTTGCGACTGTTCCATGATGATGCCTGCATCGAATCCTTCCAGGTGCAGGATTCTCGAGTCGAGGGCGCAACATTGGCTAGAAAAGTTAGTGTCATTCGAAGTATACTTTAGGAGGCTTGATGGGGAGAATTGCCCAGAAAAGGACTGACTTCAAGCTGGTTGCACATACCTGGCATCAATGGCGCTGTTTTTCAAGTTACCCAA